TAGATATCAGAAATTTGATTAAAGGATAAATTATAATTAAACCAGAGATAAAGAGTGAATTGTTTCAAAGATCACTAAACTTATACTATGGTTACGGAATGCTCACTAAACATGTGAAATCACACTAAATAACGGAAAAAAAAAAACAAAAAACAAAAAAAGAAAAAGAAATAAAAGGGACTGTTCACTTTCTTCCCTAAGCCACCCCACCCCTTGAACAAACCAAATTTAACCCACCACCCGTCGCCACTTGCCACCACGGCCACCACCTACATCAACCACCACAAAACATGCCAACATTAACCACAACGACCATAGGCACCAACCAGTCAACATTAACCACAACAATCCATTTCCCATCATTTTTTCTCTCTATGTCCACAGATAAACACAAACATGCGTATGTGTGTGTGAATAATTGAATATCTTCTTCACCAAAATCAACACATTTGCTTTTTATAGATCTCAATCTCGAGCCATTAATGGAGGAGCTACAATAAGAAGATGGACCCATCAATTTGGCGAAACCAAATGTATCGGCGGTGGAATTAGCCTACAACTCGATTGGCTTAATCCCCTGTTTCAACAGATTAAATGAAATCCTCCACATATTTACTATCAATTGTTTACAAATTTTTTCCTGCTTTTTTTGAAATTATACATGAATATTAGGGTCCGTTTGATTGTAAAGATGAAATTAAATTGAATTGAAAACGAATTTTAGGGAATTGAATTGCATAGAAATTATTTTCCTGAAAATTCTAAATTATTGTGTTTGATTGGTATAATTTTTCATGTAAAAAATATTAAAATAAAAGTATTTTTAGTGTTCGTTTGACTTTGTTTTACATAAAAATTGTCAATTAAAGGGATAAATTTTACTGATATTGGAAATTAAATTTGTTTCCATTGCCAACAAAAAAAAATAAAGAAAATAATCTATCTTTTTGTGTTCGTTTGGCTTTATTTTACATGAAAATTGTCAATTAAAGTGAAATATTTTTTTACAATAATTGCCAAAAAAAAAAAAAAAAAAGTGAACAGTATGTTGAAAAACTAAATCCCACCATATTAGTGGGAATTGGTTTTCCTTAAAAATCAAGAAAATACCATTTCCCAATACAAGTAAATGGAATTCCATGAAAATTAAAACATATCAAACACAAAATTGAAGAAATGTGGAATTCGAATAAAATGGAATTCAAACCAATCAAACAGGCTCCTAGTGCGTTTGTATAGCCTATATTACGTTGTCAACTATGGATGTGAAATGAAACAAATGAAGGTGTGGTTTGGTTTTAATTTGGGCTTTGGGTTTTGAGGTTGGTGATCGCAGGTGGTGGTCGGATTGTGGTTAGTTTCTCTGGGTTTGGTTTGGTGGTGTGGTGGTGGAGGGGCGTAGGGCAGGGGAGGGAAGAAGGAGAAATTTTATCTTTTTTATCTTTTTTTCTTCTTGATCTTTTGGGCTTTTTTCTTTTTATTTTTTAAGTTTTGCTGATTAGGACGGTGATTTGGCATGTGTTTAACCGGTGTTAGAAGCCACATTAGAATTGCGCCCGCCACATCAGCAGGAACGATAATGGTTTTTCTTGGGTGATGGATGCAGGGCAAACGAAAGAAGTTCAGTGGGCAGTGTGTAGCATATTGAAATTTAGTGAGCAGTCCATGACATGGTATAAGTTGAGTGATTTTTGAAACAATTCACTCGGTAAAATGTCACTTGTTTAACCGGTGTTAGACGCCACATTAGAATTCCGTCCACCACATCAGCAAGAACGATAATGATTTTTCTTGGGTGATGGATGAAGGGCAAATGAAGGAAGTTCAATGGGCAGTGTGTAGCATATTGAAATTTAGTGAGCAGTCCATAACATGGTATAAGTTGAGTGATTTTTTAAACAATTCACTCGGTAAAATGTCATATTGTCTTCACTAAATGGGATCAATGTGCCTTTCGGAACATGCACTAAAAAAATAAAAATAAAAATCCTAAACCTGCAGTAACATTGTTTAAGGAGGACTATAACATCAAGACACTAATATTCCGGGTAATTCACACCAAAACCGGGGGGGGGGGGGGGGGGATGGGTC